TTATAGCAACACTATCCACAATAGCCCAAGTATGGAAAGAGCCCAAATGTCCATCGCTGGGTGAATGGATAAAGAAGATGTGGTTTGTATATACAATGGAGTATTACTCGGCAATCAAAAAGAATGAAATCTTGCCATTTGCAACTACATGATGGAAGTGGAGGGTATGATGCTAAGTGAAATTAGTCAGAGAAAGACAAAAATCATATGACTTCACTCATATGAGGACTTTAAGAGACAAAACAAATGAACATAAGGGAAGGGAAACAAAAATAATATAAAAACAGGGAGGGGGACAAAACAGAAGAGACTCACAAATACAGAGAACAAACTGAGGGTTACGGGAGGGGTTGTAGGGAGGGGGGATGGGCCAAATGGGGAAGAGTCTACTCCTGAAATCATTGTTGCACTATATGCTAACTAACTTGGATGCAAATTAAAAAAAAAAAAATTAAACTAAAAAAAAACTACGTTAAAAATAAAAAAAAATTAAAAATGGAATGACCATATGATCCAGCAATTCCACTTCAGGATATATACCAAAAGGATTGAAAAGGGATATTTGTTATTCACGATAGCCAAGAGGGGAAGCAGCCCAAGAGTCCCTCAATGGATGAATGAATAAATAAAATGTGGTGTATGTATACAATGCAATATCATTTAGCTTAAGGCAGGAAACTCTGAGACATGCTGCAGTATGGATAAGCCCTGAAGACAGTCTGCCAGGTGAAATGTTATCAGTCACAAAAAGACAAATGCTCATATGATGGGGCGCCTGGGTTGCTTAGTCAGTTGAGCATCTGACTCTTGATCTCAGCTCAGGTCTTGGTCTCAGGGTCATGAGTTCAAGCCCCGCGTTGGGCTCTGCACTGGGTGTGAAGCCTACTTAAAATTAAATATAAAAATAAGCAAATAGGTAGTAGATGATAGATAGACAGGTAATAAAAAGACAAATGCTCATATGCGTATCTACATTAGTCAGATTCATAGAAACAGAAAGTAGAATGGTGGTTTCCAAGAACTGAGGCGAAGGGGAAATAGGGAGTAGTGGTTTAATGGGTATAGAGATTCAGTGTCACAAGATGATAAAGATCTGGAGATTGGTTGCACAACAGTGTGGATTTACTTAACACCACTGAACTGTACATTTAAAAATAGTTAAGACGGTAAATTTTATGTTCCATGTATTTTACAATTCCCAAAAAAATTCCTGCCTCACACATTTTCTACATATTCATAATTTTAACTATTATAAGCATATGCAAATGACCCCCAATCTATAACTTCAACATAACTTTCTCCCCTGACATAATGATTTATATCTCTGATTTCCTGCTGGGCTTCTCTTGCTGGATTGTATTCCACTGGCTTTTCAAACTCAACATGTCCCAGAGTGATTTTAGCCACAACCTGCTCATCCTCCTATTTCCTATTCCATGCCTGTGGATGAATGAATAAATGGATGAATGCACCTTGCATCTTTTTCATAGGAACTTAACAATCTGTCTGCTATCAAGATAATGGGTCATTTGAATAATGTTTTTTTGTATTGGTTTTATTGGCATATAATTCACCTACCATACAATTTACCCACTTAAAGGATACAATTCACGGCTTTTAGTTTATTCACAAAGTTGTGCAATCTTTACCATAATCAACTTTGGAATATTTTCATCACTTCCCTCTAAAAAACACTTTTTTTTTTACCTATTACCCCCACAGTCTTTCCATCTCCTCTAGCTTTAAGCAACCACAAATCTACTTTATGTCTCTTAGATTTGCCTATTATGGACATTTCGCATAAATGAAATCCCATGATATGTGATCTCTTGTGACTATCTTCTTTCACCTAGCATGATGTCTTCAGGGTTCATCCATGCTGTAGCATATATCATCAGTATTTTATTCCTTTTTCTGGACAAATAATATTGCATTGTATGGATAAATCACACTTTGTCCGTTCATCAGTCTGTGGATAGTTGGGGTGTTTCTGTTTTTAAGTTATTATGAAAAATGCTGCCATGAACATTCATATATGTTTTTGTGTGGACATACATTTTCATTTCTCTGGAGTGTATACCTAAAAGTGAGTGAATTGAAGGTTCCAATGGTAACTATACGTTTAACTTTTTCAGGAGCTGCCAGACTGTTTTCCACGGTGGCTGCACCAATCCTACATTCCCACCAGCAGTGTATGGTTCCAATTTCTCTACATCCTCATCAACACTTCTTATTTTCTGGGTTTGTTTGTTTTTGTTTATTTTTAGTCTAGCCATTCTAGTGGGTGTAAAGTGGTATCTCACTGTGATTTTAATTTGCATTTCCCTGATGATTAGTGATGTTGAGCACCTTTTCATGTGGCCATTAGCCATCTGTGTATCTTCTTTGGAAAAACATCCATTTGGAGAATGTCCAGATCCTGTACCCATTAAAAATTTTTTTCTTGTTATTGAGTTCTTTATATATTCCAGATACAAGTCCCTTATCAGATAAATGATTTGAAAATATTTTCTTCTGTTCTATGTGTTGTGTTTTCACTCCCTTGGTAGTGTCCTTTGCATCACTAAGTGTTTTGCTTTTGACGATGTATATTTAGATTTTTGATGAAGTCTATCTCTTTTTTCTTTTGTTGCTTGTGCTTTTGGTGTCATACCTAAGAAATTTACCTAACCCAAGGTCACACATATTTACTACTCTTTTTTCTTCTATGAGTTTTGTAGTTTACGCTCTTACGTTTAGGACTTTGATCCATTTGTGTTGATTATTACATATGTTTTGAGGTAGGAGTCCAGTTTCATTCTTTTGAATGTGGACACCCAGTTGTCCCAGTACTATTTGTTTAAAAACACTGTCCTTTCTACACAACCAGTGGAATTGTTGCCTTTTGCAAGTTTGAAATCATGGCAGGTCCAGAAACTGATGCCCAACTCCATCTCACTGGTATCAAAAAATATTTCAACTCTTATACTTCAAGTTAAGGTCGAAAAAACACCAGCTGTGAAAGCAACAGAAATGGAGCTTAAACTGTGCCTCACCTGTTAAATTCCCATGCCTGGAGAAGCTAATGACAACTCATAATGCGATACTCAATTTGTACAATATATTATGAATCTGGAAAAAAAAAATAAAAACACTGTCCTTTCTGGTCTAGATAACCTTATCAAAACGCAATTGAACATAGAAATGGGAGTTTATTTCTGGATTCTTTCATTCTATGCCAATGATCTACACATATATCTTATGCCAGTACCACACTATCTTCAATACTGTTGCTTGGTAGTCAGTTTTGAAATTGAGAAATGTGAGTCCTCCAATTTGATTTATTGTTCTTTCAAGATTGTTTTAGCTGTTGTTGGTACCCTGAGTTTACATGTGAATTTTAGGATAAACATCAATTTCCACCAAGAAACCAGATGGGATTTTTAATAGAATTGTGTTGCATCTATTGAACTAATATAATTTTTATTTATGAGTTGTGGCTTTCAGACCAAATTTTAGTTCTGTTACTTTTTTCAGGGAAATTCATTGGTTTTCCAATTAATGGAAGGCAAGCAAGTACACAGAGTAATACTAAAAGGCAAAATACAATTTTTAAAGTTTATATTTTGCTGCAAATTTAAATGAAATCAACAGTTTTACACTTAACTAGAATATTACTTATGAAATAAGCAGTTTCTCAATGGTTTGGTTTGTCAGGAACCTTGTGGCTATCTGGTAACTTGTTTGCTTATGATTCTGGACAGTTATACCTAGAATTCAGATTGCCCCAGTCTAAATGTCAAGGTTTGTATCAAGTACAACTTTTAATAGTTTCTTCAACTTTTCAAGTTAGGCAAAATATTATTTTCAAAGAACAAGGCCCCAGTTTACATCAGTACCTTAAAAAAATAAAGCTTTCTTTGCACGTGTGATAATTATCGTGAAAGCATTTTTTTGGGTACGAGCTAACTTTCCGGATTTGTGCTTTGCTTTAGAATAAAGCACAATACTCTCCTTGTCTACCTAAGCAGTGTGTCCTTGAAAACTATTAAAATCATTTACACATTCTTTGCAGCATTATGTACTCATATAAATATAAAGGTCATTCAGCTAGCAGCACTAACGGTATCGATCATTTATAAAAGTATTTAGACATTATGCTTTTACATCACTATTTCTTTTGACTAGTATATTGTAGTGTCTCTTTTTAAACCAGGAATATGTATGAAATTATGTTTCCTTATCCATTAATTGAGATTTTTGAACTTACTTTGATGAAAAAAAAAAAAAAAAAAAGAAGAAATGACTGCCTAAGTTTAAGACTTAAAAGTCCCTCTCACTAACATTTGTGGTGGTAATTGCATTGTATGAAGGTAGTGACTTAATTGATGTTGTTGTTCTTAATGCTGCTATTATTTCTGGCAATAATAACAGTTTTCTTGACCACACTTTGTTTCATTTCTCCTAATAGGATAAATTTTTAAAAACGAACAACAGGGTGCATGGGTGGCTCAGTCAGTTAAGCATCAGACTCTTGACTTTGGCTCAGGTCATGATCTCACAGTTCATGAGTTCTAGCCCCACATCGAGCTCTGCACTGACAGTGCAGAACCTGCTTGGGATTCTCTGTCTCCCCCTCTCTCTGCCCCTCTCCCACACCCTCTCTATCTCTCTCTCAAAAATAAATAAGCATTTAAAAATTGTTTTTAAACGAATATTGAAGATGACTCCAGATCGTAATCCTCAGGACTTTTCCTTCTTGCCTAATCTTAATCACCTCAAAGCTAGGCTTTTCTAGAACCTCGTCTGTTGACCTCTAATTATAGGTTCATCAAAAGAGTATTTGACTGGGGTACAAAGAGCTTTTAACCGAGATGTTTTCCCCTCAATTAAAGGAGCCGAAAGCAGGATAATTGAAGGGGTTAATCTGTAAGAGAAGCATCCTATTTTTCCTAAAATTTTCTGGAGACTTTGAAGTAAGTTATCTGAATAATTGTCTTTGTGTGACATGTCTCTTTCAGAAAGGGATCTACTCTGAGTGTGCCTTCTAATGCTCAGAAACACCAACACACACCTGGAACCCACAGCAATGGATCACTGGAAGACAAAATGCACAAGAATAATATTTCACCCGGCAACGAGGACTGAGATTTGCAAATAAAATGGCTGGAGGAGAAGGAGCATCCCCGTCACCTGGAAATTGTTTTATTAGGCAGTAGCTGGGTTTTCAACTCTGTTAGTTGGATTTTTGTTTGTTTTCAAACTTTTCAGGGATTGTTAGCCTGAGGTCCATTGGTCGCGTTCAACGTGATTCTGGATGAAAAAATTAAAGTTTTGTTTTCACTAACCTCTACACAAAAGGCAGCATTTCCTTCAATAATGAATGTGGGCAGTACATCATGCTAGTATTAGTACCTGTGACCTTTTCATTAAAAGAAATCACAGAGTTTTTCATAGCCCACTATGACAGCTGCACATCTTGCAAATATTGTTTAAGCTACTTCAAATGTATGTAGTCATTAAGTGGCTCAGTCGGTTAAGCGTCCAACTCTTGCTTTCAGCTCAGGTCATCATCTCACGGTTTCGTGGGTCTGAGCCCCGCATTGGGCTCTGCACTGGCAGCATGGAGCCTGCTTGGGATTCTCTGTCTCCCTCTTGCTCTCTATTCTTCCCCCACTCTGTCTCTCTCAAAATAAATAAACTTTAAAAAAGTAAACAAACAAACATACAAAAAAAGACATCACTCTTGAACAAGTAAAGACATTGGTGGTACCAAAAAAAAAAAAAAAAAAATTAAGAAGCCAGCAAGTGTAGGCTTAGGTGAAGTGGGACTTGAAATGTGTTCTGAGGAGGGGGCTGCCCATATATGGTCATTGAACATTCCCCATCTCTTTGCTCCCTGTGTTTGGCTGGAACTATGCCAGTTTCAGTATCCATTAGCCTGCCAGGTCCTGGTTAGCTCCAGGTCTGCCTAAACTAGATTCGAACTACAAGGGTGGCCCTTGGCCAGCCCTGGATCATCTCAATTTCGGATTTTCACTTTTGAGTAAGTCTTGGTGTTGTTGGACAAGTTAGGACATGCTGACTGGGCCGCCGACTCCCCAAAGGCCACTCTGCATTTATCCCTTCAGTGGCCACTAAATGTTTTGGGAAAAGTATAAAAATAGTGGCCACCCAAACCATAAATCAGAAGTGGAAAAAACATACTGATAGGGGCGCCTGGGTGGCACAGTCGGTTAAGCGTCTGACTTCAGCCCAGGTCGTGATCTCACAATCCTCGAGTTCGAGCCCCGCATCGTGCTCTGTGCTGACAGCTCAGAGCCTGGAGCCTGCTTCGGATTCTGTCTCCCTCTCTCTCTGCCCCTCCCCTACTCATGCTCTGTCTCTTCTCTCTCTCTCTCTCTCTCTCTCTCTCTCTCTCTCAAAAATAAATAAACATTAAAAAAAATTTTTTTAATTAAAAAAAACCACACACTGATAAAGGCATGAGTTTTATGAACAACGTCATGTCAGCGAGACCAGGAGATGGGAACCAAAAAAGTGGAAAGACAAAATGATAACTTATTCAAGGAGAAGTCTACCGTCTAACCCAGTGGCCTACTTTAATCATTACATTTTAATTATAGCTGCTGCTTGCACAAATAAAGTGACATTGCCGGTAAAAACGTTCAGCTTACTGTGCATTAATTACCTCCAGGTCCATCTGGTATTTCTAGTTTTTTATGTTTGTATTGTGAGAGTGAAGAGGAAAAAAAAGTGTTCCCTTCTTTTCGCTCACTTTAAACAAATATTGTGTGTGACTAACAGGGTTTGCTCTACAGCTGGAGCTACCTTTCCAATTAATGGTTTCTTTAAATTTGTGCTGGGTAAAGGAGGATTCCTAAAAATAGAAGCCCCAGGTTTTAACCTTGATACTTCCTCTGTTTCACCTGGTTATGTTCCTGTACACGACCCTGTCTTTTGCCATTCTCAGATTTTCTCGGCCTATTTGACATAGAAATTGGGGGGAGAAATAAAAGAGGTGGGGGAAAGACAAAGTTGATGCAAAGTTCTTTGAGTGTAGTAAAAAGTTGAGCAGACATATTGTCGCAAAATGTCTTTTAAATTTCTACTACAGAGATACCTCATCTTATTGCCCTCTGCTTTATTGTACTTCACAGACGTGTGTGTTTCCAAGTTGAAGGTTTGTGGCCCCCTGCAGTGAGCAAGTCTAGCGGCACCATTTTGTCAACATCACTTGTTCACTTTGTGTCTCTGCGTCACATTTTGAACTTTTTCACTCTTAGCGTAATCATTACGGTGATCTGTGATCAGCCACCTTTGCTATTGCTATTGTAATTGTTTGGGGGCACCATGAACAGCACCTGTGTAAGACAGTGAACTTAATCCATAGAGGTTGTGTGTGTTCTGACTGGTCTGCCACCTGGCCACTCCCTGGTCTCTCGCCCTCTCCTGGGGCTTCCCTAGTTCCTGAGACACGACAATATTGAAATTGGGCCAATGAATAACCCAACAATGGCCTCTAAGTGTGCAAGTGAAAGGAAGAGTTGCACGTCTCTCACTTTAAATCAAAAGCTAGAAATATGATTCAGTTTAGGAAGGCTTGTTGAAAGCTGAGACAGGCCAAAAGCCAGACCTCTTGTGCCAACAGTTAGTCAAGTTGTGAATGCAGAGGAAAAGTTCTTGAAGGAAAATAACTGCTACTCCAGTGAACACGTGAATGAGAAGAAAGTGAAATAGCCTCATTGCTAATACGGAGCAAATATTAGTGGTCTGGATAGAAGATCAAAGTAGCCACAACCTTCCCCTAAACCAGAGCAAGGCTCTAACTCTCCTTAAGTCTATGAAGGCTGAGAGAGGTGAGGAAGCTGCAGAAGCAAATCTGAAGCTAGCACAGTTTTGTTCATGAGATTTACAGAAAGAAGCCATAGAGAAAAGGGTAAGGTGAGGCAGCAGGTACTGAGGAAGAAGCTCCAGCAAGTTATCCAGGGGATCTAGCTCAGGTAAGGAATGAAGGTGGCTGCACCAAACAATAGATTTTCAATGTGGACCGAACAACCTTCTATTGGAAGAAGATGCCATCTAGGACTTTCATGGCTAGAGAGGAGAAGTCAATGCTTGGCTTCAAAGCTTCAAAGGGCAGGCTGACTCTCTCATTAGGGGCTAATACAGCTGGTGATTGGAAGCGGAAGCCAGTGCTCACTTACCATTCTGAAAATCCGAGGGCCCTTAAGAAGTATGCTGCATCCACTCTGTGCTCTATAAATGGAACAACAAAGTCTAGATGACAGAACATCCGCTTATAGCACGGTTTACTGAATATTTTAAGCCCACCGTTGAGGCTAACTGCTCAGAAAAAAAGATTCCTTTCAAAATATGACTGCTCACTGACAGTGTACCCGGTCAGCCGGGAGCTCTGAGGGAGATGTACAAGATTAATGTTGTTTTCATGCTTGCTAACACAACAAACATTCTGCAGCCCATGGATCAAGGAGTCGTTTTGGCTTTCAAGTCTTGTTATTCAAAATATCTTTTGTAAGGCTATAGCTGCCATAGATAGTGAGTCCTCTGATGGATCTGGGCAAAGTGAATTTCAAAACCTTCTGGAAAGGATTCACCATTCTAGGTGCCTTAAAGAACATTTGCGATTCACGGGAGAAGTCAAAGTACCATCATGGACAGGAGTTTGGAAGAAGTTGACTCCAACCCTCATGGATGACTTTGAGGGATTTAAGACTTCAGGGGAGGAAGTGACCGCAGATGCGGTGGAAAAAGCAAAAGAACTAGAATGAGAAGTGGAGCGGGAAGATGTGATTAAATTATTACAATCTCATGATAAAACTAACAATGAGGAGTTGCTCCTTATGGATGAGCAAAGAAACTGATTCCTTATGTTTCAAAGCACGTTATAATAAAGAATGAACTAATAAGGTGACTTACCAGTTGTTTTTTTTTTTTTCATTTTGTCGATTGTCATATAAAAAGCATGATGCTAGTGGACTATAGCTAACTTTTGTCAATGTGGAGAACCTTATATTGTACATTCCTCTGAAAGAAGATATAAGAGAATTTGTGTACACTACAATATACTCAGAGCTTAGAATAGTGTCTGGTACATAGTAAACCCTCAATAAATATTGAATGACGTAAGAGAAGAGCCCGATAAGCAAATCTTCAAAGTGACGATATGTTAATTATATAGATATTATACATAAATTATCCATTAATGGAGAAGATTAAAGCAGATGTTTCCTTTCTTTTCTTTTTTTTTTTTTTCAATGTTTATTTATTTTTGGGACAGAGAGAGACAGAGCATGAACGGGGGAGGGGCAGAGAGAGAGGGAGACACAGAATCGGAAACAGGCTCCAGGCTCTGAGCCATCAGCCCAGAGCCCGACGTGGGGCTCGAACCCACGGACCGCGAGATCATGACCTGGCTGAAGTCGGACGCTTAACCGACTGTGCCACCCAGGCGCCCCTCCTTTATTTTCTTAACGTTTATTTATTTATTTTGAGAGAGAGAAAAGAGAGTACATGCACAAGCAGCGGAGGGGTGGAGAGAGAGAGAGAGAGGGAGAGAGAGAATCTCAAGCAGGGTCTGCACTGACAGTGGGAGCTGGATCTCACAAACAGCAAGGAGCCAACGAGCCTGGACCTCACAGTTCTTGAGATCATGACCTGAGCTGAAATCAAGAGTTGGATGCTTAACCAATGAAGCCACCCAGGTGCCCCCAGATGTGTCCTTTAAGTTCACTAATTCCAGGTTGGGAGAACAAATACTATAATTAAAATTTTTAGCCTATTTCTCTTCCTGCCCCTGTGTTCTTTAGTGTAATACTTAGTGCAACATTTAATAAGAGTATACCATTTTTTGACACAGGGAAGGAAACATTACTAATGGAAGGAGTGCATTGTGTTTTTGCCATTATAGATAAGGCATGTGGAATAATAATGGCAAGCATTCTGACTTTGCTTTTATTTTTTTTTTTAAATTTTTTTTTTCAACATTTATTTTATTTTTGGGACAGAGAGAGACAGAGCATGAACGGGGGAGGGGCAGAGAGAGAGGGAGACACAGAATTGGAAACAGGCTCCAGGCTCTGAGCCATCAGCCCAGAGCCCGATGCGGGGCTCGAACTCACGGAGCGCGAGATCGTGACCTGGCTGAAGTCGGACGCTTAACCGACTGCGCCACCCAGGCGCCCCTGACTTTGCTTTTATTAAGAATATTTCAGAGTACCTCTGGCTAATGATCTTAAAATGCCCCTTCCTCACATATAATTAAATTACTCTCTAGTGGCTTTCATTATTTTTATTTCCTTATGATAAGA